GGGAGAGAGAATTACATCAGCCAAATCTTGATTTCAGAATTAATGACAAAAGCTCTAATTACAATTACAAGGAATTTCCTATTTATACTAGGAAAGTAAAGGCTAAAATATTACAAGTAAAACTATTCTAAGGAGAAACTTGAATACAACTTTTAAGCTCTAATCTTGAACCCAACAGAAGATTCTCATTTTCATTTGAGATCTTACATGGGAATCACAAATTTGTTTCTCATCCCTAAGTGTCACTCAATGCTCTAAAACTTAAATGTTTTTACTAAGTGATTGAGCCAGATCTTGGTATAATTCTTTACAACTAGAGTATGTGACAACATGGAACCCAATGGCAAAAAAGTTTCTTAAAAAATATTTTCCACCTATAAGGAATGCTAAATCCATAAATGAAATTTGCATTTTTATACAAATGAATGATGAAGAAGTTCCTGATGCATGGAAAAGGTACAAAGAGCTACTGAGAACATGTCCAGATCATGGCATTCCATATTGCATACAGCTAAATACGTTTTACGATGGTTTAAATACTGTTTCTAGACAAACGTTTGTTGCTACCGCAGGCAAAGTCTTTTTAATACAACCTATAATGAAGGTTTTGACATACTTGAAAAGATTTCTTTTGATTCAAATTTTCTCAGTGATTTGATGATGACCTTCCATACTTAGTGTAAAATGCTTGTTCTGCTTCTGTTCAGCTTCAATGATAATCTCTAAGTCTGTTCAGTGATCGCTGAACATGTATAATGAACTTCTCAAAAAACGAGTATTTCTTAGAGACAAAACTCACACCAAAAGAACCTTCATCGATGTCAAAAAAGTAGCTAAAGATAGAGACATTATAGTTCATGATCTGAAGTGGATTCTGTGATAACTAGAATGTCTAAATCAACATGTGAAATCTGACCAAGACTCAGCAAACACTGAAGACCCTTAGAGATGAATCAGTGTCAGCATTTAAATGAATCTTGCTCTACAAGATTAGCTTTTGTCTCATCCTAGATGCACAAAAGGACAACCCCATACCCCACATAGAAAAGTACACGTACGAAGTTACTTTATTGTCTCCAAACATGCTTACCAACTTTGTGAAGTTAACTATTCATATGCGGCAAAAGTCTGCATATCAGAAGACAAAGGACAATCTATCCACTAAAAGTTTTCCACGTGGCTTGTAGCCTCTAACTTGCATTAAACGTAATGGGTATAAATAGCTGAGAATATCTCTCCTCTCAGCAACGCCTTCTTCTTCTTCTAACACTCTTCTCTCTTGTTCTTATCCTTCTTTGTGAATTTCTATGTGTTTCTTAGATTGTTTAAATTAGGTCTTAACCTTATCTTTATCCACAACAATCCATAAATTATGTATTGATCTTCTTTTATCAATAAAGGAATTTAAAAAGTGAAAATCTGTGTTTGTATTAAAACCCTCCCTTCTACAAACTGTTACGTTTAACACTCTTGTAGATCTGTTTGAGACCAAAAATTTCTAACAATAATGGACATTGGGCTGACCCACATGCACAAGTACCTCGAAAAATAGTTGGGGTACATGAGGTAGATGCTTACACAACATTAATAACATATTTCACTAATATGGCTTCGATTAAAAATCTAACCGCCAGCCCACCTATGCAGTATGATGCTACTACTTCCATTCCCCTGTCCTTTCTATATAATGTGTATTTTGGTGATGAACACTTATTTGAGCAATGTCTTGGAAATCCAAAATGAGTTAATTTTGTTAGTAGCAACAAGGGTGAACCTTTTTGACAAACTTACAATCCTAGATGGAGACAACATTTGAATTTTTCTTGGAATAGTCCTACTCTTGACCCACAATTGCTAAAGCTTCATCGGCAATCAAACTTTCAACCCTAATCATGGTCCAAATTTCAATCAAAATCACACAAAGGCATTCAAAATAACTAGCAAGCTAATTATTAATCTCAAAATCAACAACCTTATTTCCAACAAAGACCAATCAACTTGTTGAACCGTATACTGCTTTGAAAGAAATGATGAAAGGGTTTATAATGCAAACTCAGGCATCAATTAAAAATCTTGAAATACGAATGGGGCTAATGACACTGAAATTGAAGAAAAGACTAGTAAGTTTCCTACCTAGTGATACAGAGACAACTCAAAGGACTGTAAAAGAGTATAAAGGTTGTAACCTTGAGGAATGGGAAGAATTTACCAAATAAAACATACAAAAAGAGTTAGAAAATCCAAACAAGACAGAGCCCAAAAAGAATCTCACAACATCAAATTCTACTGCATTACCTTTAGAACAGTTTTATGATACCACTGGGCCCAAAATACGAATACTTTCCATTATTATTCTCTAATGAACCTAAAGAAGTCTATAAACCCTAAGAAAAAAATATTATGGATGTGAACCTGATTTCAAACTCCGACAGTAAGTCCTGAAATACCATCTCAGATAGAAACCATATGTGAACCTGTTTTGCAAACCCTGTTAGCACCTACCATTAAAAAAGTTACACCTCCTACTCCAGTCACACCTTACATTCCTTATCCCCCAAAGGTTAAGGAATCAAAGGGAACAATTACATTTTAAAAAGTTTCTTGATATTTTTAAGCAGTTGCATATAAACATATCTTTGGTGGAAGCCACTGAACAAATGTTAAGTTATGCAAAATTTCTAAAAGATATTTTGAGCAAAAAGAAAAAATTGACTGAGTATGAGACTGTAGCTCTGACTGAAGGGTGTAGTGATTTCTTATCCAATAAACTCCCTTCTAAGCTTAAAAACCCAAGAATCCTTACTATCCCATGTTCAATAGAAAGAAAAGAAATGGGAAAGGCCTTATGTGACTTAAGTGCTAGTATAATCCTTATGCATCTCTATGTTTTCAACACTTTAGATAGATGAAGCTAAACCTATCACTGTTACACTTCAATTAGTCGATAAGTCCATAGCCTACCCTAAAAGAAATATTGAGGATGTCTTAGTTAAGGTCGATAAGTTTACTTTTCCAGCTGATTCCATCATCCAAGACTTTAAAACTGATAAATATATTCTCATCATCTTAGGAAGACCTTTCCTAGCCACTGGGAGAACCCTGATAGATGTATAAAAGGGAGAGCTAATGAAAGTCCAAGACCATAAAGTAACTTTTAGTGTGTTCAATTCCCTTAGGCACCCTCACGAAAAGCATGAGTGTTCTACTTCGAGTATGATAGAATCTTGGTGTCAAGAAAATTGTAATGGCAACATTAATGTAGTTTCGTTCAGATAAAGATGGTGGTGAGCACCCTGAATTGAAAGTAGTATGGCCGATTTTAGCCAGATTATCTTTTACAAATATCATTGTAATTTTGAATGCATAGATAAGTATATCACAGTTTAAGAGATGGTTTCTAGAAAAATTAAGAACCAAAATTGTGATTGAACAGTGCTACGAAAGTAAGCAACTGAGACCACGAACTATTTTCGGAATGGTAAGAGTGATTCAAGGTTGTGAGTAACTAAGATATGTTAATTGAAGTACTTCCAATAATCACAGAGACTTCTTGCTCAGGCTTGGCAGTGGTGTATGGTACTGAAGTTTGAGGTTGATTGTGGTGTTAATTGTCTTGGAACTCGTAGTAGCAGTTATGACAAGAAAGCAATTGAAGTGCAGTTTGTGGTGGGCTTCTATTGGAAGTCCTTCCTTGGATGGGAGGTAGTCGACTTGTGAAATAGTGATTGTTTGGGGACTCCATCCTCAAATAATTATTCTCTTTGGGATGGATGAATAATGAGCCATCTGTTGGACTTGAACTCTAGGTTGTGTGACATTTTTAACCGCCTTATGTGTACCTTTTGGTCCGAATATATTGCAGGAAGGAAAGGTATAGTGTCACTACGTGGGAAGATTTCGTGTGGCAACGTTTGTTGATTGTGGGTAATAAATAATCAGGTTTAATCAGGAAACCGAGATAATTTGTTAATGCAATATGCTAGACTGTTAAATATGTGCTAGATTTTGAAGATGAAATCTATTTTTAAGGTTGGGAGGATTGTAACATCGATAATTTTTGGAGAACGAGTGGGAAAATAGCTAGGAAAATGGTCGACGAAGAGTCGAAAAACGATCAGGAACGGCAGAGCGGGAAAACGAGTAGGGAACTGGTTGGAAAACGATCTAGAAATAACCGGGAAAACGGTCAAGGAATGGTCACAAAAATGGTCAGTAAAAAACGGTTGAGGAATGGTAGGGAACGGCAGAACGGCCAACCAGACGACCTGGCAAGGGCCATGTGACTTTGGCTAGCCGACCTAAGTGGCCCCAAAATTCGCCCCAAACGCCCAACTCATTTTTCTAGGGTTTTTTCCATTCTCTTTCCCACTCCATTTTCTTTCCTCCTTGGGTCTTCATAGGGAATATGGTATGGGACCTTTAAGTCAGACATCAATCATTGACCAGTATAATGCAATTTCTTGTGAATGAGCTTATCTAGGATCTTTGGAGATCTCAAGCTATATATCGTCGTTGGTTGAACTTGAGGAGTCATTAAGCTACCAGTTGTGTATGGTTGAACTTAATGACTCATTACGAAATAGATCGTGGGTGGTTGAACTTAATAACCTTTGATCCATAGTGAACCTTATATATCATAGATATGTGGCTTACTTTTGTGTACTGTCACGTTCAATGGAATCGGGTCTTCCCCGTCACCTATGTTTTGGATATGATATTTTATCCATGTTTTTAGTGTTGTTTTTGGTATGGAATGTATCCATGATTTGATATTTTAGATGTTGTATATTACTTATATTTTGTTGTTTAGATACTTGAGTTTTGTTCATGTTTCTGACATTTGAATATCAAGCTTTATTTATATTTTATGTGAGTATTGAGTTTTAGTTTAATGTTAAATGTGTGTTTTCGTTAATGAGTTTTCATCACAAAAATGATGATTTGTTGGAGAAATTGCTTTCATATTTAATTAAATTCTTTTTGGAAATTGTTATTTAAATATCATTCTGTTAGTTTTACCGTTCTATATTAATAATGAAAACTTCTTAAACCCACTAGGCATTAAACCTAACTATTTTTATTTGTCAGCATGTTCATCTGGTCCTCGTGGGGGCGGTATTAGCGACACTTTAGCAAAGTCGAGTGCTAGTTAGAGACTCATAGAGGACTTGAGTCCTTGGGACATTTTTGTATCATTAGAGATAACAACTTTTGGTAAGGGTTATAGTTACACCAGACTTAATGTAGTTTCATTTGGATCTAGATTTTAAGTTGTTGACTTTGACTTTATTGTATTCTTGCGTATAAGTATAAAGAGGTTTCGAGAGTAGTTGTATTGAGTTCAATATTTTGATTTTGAGGTGTTACAAAGAGGCGTAGAGGCATTACTCCTATCACACAGGAGGGACAAATCATATCCCTGGTACTAGTACATTGGGCCTTGGTTAAATCTGCGACGGATAATTCCCTCGCTGATTATTTTAAAAATTTTGGTT